TTACAGTAAGTTATCTAATTATATGTTTTGACTCAAACTGGCTTTTTCAATGACCATTTGAATTTTTATTGTTAATATTTTATTGTATTTCGCTTTCTTTTTTCTAGACATCCAGAAAGAATCAACATTGCATTTGGTCTTACGTTTACGTGGTGGTATGCAAATATTCGTCAAAACGTTGACTGGGTATGTTCTTCCGTTTGAATATTTTTCAGAGAAAATTCAGATGTTTTGGTCTGCTTTTCTAGTAAAACAATCACATTGGAAGTTGAAACAAGTGATACAATTGAAAATGTTAAGGCTAAAATTCAAGACAAGGAAGGAATTCCACCCGATCAACAACGTTTGATTTTTGCTGGCAAACAATTGGAAGATGGTCGTACGGTAAGTCATTGATAACCGACAGCAATGAATGCTGTTAGTTTGAAACTGCATAATGAACTTGTGCTGTTATTAATTAGGATATTTCTATTCATATTTTAGTTGAGCGATTATAACATTCAAAAAGAATCAACGTTGCATTTAGTTTTACGTTTACGTGGTGGTATGCAAATATTCGTTAAAACGTTGACTGGGTAAAGTTTTTTATCATTTCTGGACTTAAAGAACAAAATTTGATAGTCTCTCGTCAAATTTAGAAAAACAATCACATTGGAAGTTGAACCAAGTGATACAATTGAAAATGTTAAAGCTAAAATTCAAGACAAGGAAGGAATTCCACCCGATCAACAACGTTTGATTTTTGCTGGCAAACAACTGGAAGATGGCCGAACATTGAATGATTACAGTAAGTTATCTAATTATATGTTTTGACTCAAACTGGCTTTTTCAATGACCATTTGAATTTTTATTGTTAATATTTTATTGTATTTCGCTTTCTTTTTTCTAGACATCCAGAAAGAATCAACACTGCATTTGGTTTTACGTTTACGCGGTGGCCAATAAAAAACAAGCCATCATTAGTATAGAAACAAAACATCATATTTGTTTTTGTCATGAATTGTTTTTTGAGTGAACGTTTGTCTTCTGTGATTGTATAAATGGTTAAAGCCGGTATTTCTTTATTGGTAACGTTTATGATTCAGTTTTATGGTAGAAAAGAAAAAAAAATTGATTTTGGGACAATAAAAAAAGGAAAATACTCTTCGATACGGTTAAGAAACAGGAAATGAGGATAAAACATAATACGTTAACATAAGAAAAGATAAAAACAAGGTTGTATGACTATTTGTGTCAGTAATAGAGGATTTATTACTGCTATAAAAAGTTTTCGTTCAGCTCAGACTTTTTTTGTTTTAACCATAATTCAGCAGGTTGGTCTTTTAACAAACAGTTTTCACCAAAATGTTGCCCTTCCTCCGAGTATATTTGTGATAAAAACTTTTAAAATATTGGCTGGTCGGATAGGATAAAAAGCTCCATCATTCGACTCAGTTTTTGACGCTGACTCCGAATACGATAACTTTACTGCATAAAAAGTGAGTTCTGGTAGGAAAAATTGAAGATTATGGGCACAATTCAGATTTATTTGCTCCTGATTTAGAAAAAGTGAAATTTCTCAATGGGAAATTTCAAAAATCAGGAGTTACACTTTTGTTGTATGAATCAAGACGGTTCGAATGGCATATGTCACAGGGTTCCATCTCTTCGCACAAAAAAAACAGATAGCGTGTTGAATTGAGGTGACGATTTTTGAACCCTCCATAACATGAGTCCTCTGTCAGACCAAGGTCTAGGCTACGAGCTCGTAAAATACACTTTTAAATTCTATTTTGATTTCGAACCAGAAAAAAAATGTTTCGGAGTTTTAAACTAAAACGGAGAAAAAATGTAGACATTTTTCGAGGAGAGATAGTTTTCCGGTTTTTCAAGCTCTCAAAGTATTTTCAGTTTTTTGAACAGAAAACTCGGATGGGAAGGCTGAAAGCAAGTTACTCTCGTTCAGTGCATCCTCCTCTTTCGAGTGATGTCTGATTTAATCGAATATAAAAGAGCGTATGAACTTTGAATTACGTGCACCTTATAAAATGGATGATAACTTAGATGCATCAGAATTAATCGACTCACAATGTGAACTGTTCAAGGAGAATTATAATATAGACGTTGCTGATAGTATGAAAAAAATACCGTTCATTTATTGGCTCTTAAAATTTCATAAAAATCCAACCAAACAATGCTTTATAATCTCACCATCTTATTACTGCACTAAAAAATTAGCTAAACTGTTGAGCACTACGTTTAATGTACGAACGAGAAATTAAATATTATAACAATTCACGAAGCAGAACAAAAATATATTAATTTTGGATCATCGACAGCTCCATTCATGTATTAAAACGAATTAAAGAGATTAATAAGAAAAGATCAGCTAGAAATATTGAAACATACGATTTTTCAACGTTGTATAGGAGATCTGCTAATTGAAAGTTGGTTTTGAGTTGCTGAAAAGTGCTTTTTCGTATTCAGCCCGCGCGCTAACCTAATAGATTTTCTATTTTTTACCAGGGCTATGGGTACTGTACGAAAAATTTTCAAACTAATATTATTTTCTCATGAAAATTTTTTTGCGCCATTTTGTTTTAAAAGTTTAGGAAACCTTTTGGAAGTATCCCTCGTCCAAAATAGAAAATCTACTAGATTATTGAATTTTGCGAGTGTCTGTGGTCGGATAATGCGAAGACATGGTCATGTTCTGAACACAAGTCATTTCTCTCTTTGTATACCTTTCAAACCGGATAACAAATCTTTGAGATCGATTCTATTCCATGTGTAATTGTTCTTGTTAGATACGGCTTTTTCCAAGTAGTACTTAAGGACCACTATAATTCCATTTATTTCGTTTAACATTGTTAAATCATTTTCTGTGATTATGTTGGCTAATATTATAGACGAAACTAATTTTAGATGACCGTTTCTGCGTTGGCAATCGTAACAACGTTTGTATGACACTTGGCTGATTTCTAATATAAGATGATAGTTATGGATTTTTTATTAAATTGAAAATAAGCATAACTGCGAGATCGATAAGTTGTGTTTTTGAGTTGTTCAAGGTGTTAATTTGCGCTGAATTATGTAGATTAGAACAACTCAAGATTTGAGTTATATAATTTATCAATTATTCATAGTTCATAGATAGTGTTTCAACAGCTGAAGTTATCGAACTGAGACGACATAAAACATTCATTAGATAATACATAGATTTCCGATATAGTGGATAAAAATTGGCTGAAGATAGTAGTAAAACCGCTAATAGGTTTAGATGTGATAAATGTTTTTGTTTACTGGACAGGCTATTAGTAAAAAGTCTTGTCTCGATTTCATTTTTATTAGTATTGTGTCGATTTGAAGCATTTTAAATGCTTCAGTATAATAAGACGAAAATATACATTTTAAAATTGGGTGTAATAATAGCCCTAATTTCGAGTTTTCATTCACATCGGTTTTATGGTCAATAGTTGGGCCAGTATTTGTATTAAGGCAGAAAAATTCTGACTATTACTATCGTCAGTTAAATATTTTTCACGATCACCTATTAGAATACTTTGAACGGTATCAATTAGTCCTCTACGTAATAATAATGTTTCAAAATTCGATAATGTTTCAGTGTTTAACTGATTATTAATTAAATTTAATAAAAAACTTGTTATTAGACTAAACAAATTCGTTCGTTGACCTGATACAGTATCACTCGTATTAAGTACACTTAATTGCCATTTTTCTAATATATTTTTCAGTGTATCAATCAGAGAAATGTGTATCGGATGTGCCAAGATCAATGGATGTGAGAGCGTTGTCTTGTCAATATAACCAAGAGCATTCAATATTTTGTCAGTGACACTTGACGAACTCTTGTCTTTTTTTAATATTTCATCTTATAGATCTTTTAAATGTTCAACGGTTAAGTCTTTTCCTTTTTTACGAATCGTACCACAATGGGCGCTAATTATATCCAATTTAACGGCAAGCAATATAAAACGTTCGCTGGTGTGCAATAAATTATTTAAATAACTTTCTTATAAACTGTTAATCCAAAGAAAGTTAAATTTTTTCACAACAAAAGAGTAGAAAAAAAGCGAAAAGTAAAAGTGGTTGTTAGTGGAAAGCGTCTTTTCTAGAGAACGACAAAGACAATCAATCATTCAATCAGTTACAAAAGTGTGGAATAAACAACACTTCCAATGTGAATGAATACATTGCTATAGTAATTCTTCTGACATACGTTTTTTTAGACATAGTATATCGAAACAACTTTTCTCGTCTTTTATTTGAATCTAAGTTTGAAATTCTGGTATAAAACGGTAGTTATATAATACATTGTTAACAGAAGAGAATTGTTCCAATTAGTTACCGACGGCAAAATTATTTCGAATATCTTATCGTAACGATAATCAATGTCGGCTTTGACTAACAGTTGTTGTTGTGTTTTAGTACCACTAAGAAAATAATGTGGACATATAATCAACAAAAGCTCTTCGGATGGTCTCATTTTTTCTAATTTTAAATATTTAAATACATTGACGTAACATTTCGAACAAACACATTTACTAAAGAATTCGAATGGTGAACATATAAAATTAAAATTAGCAAATCGTATCTATGTCAACCATAATTTTAAAATAAATGAAACTTACGTTAATCGATTACGTGAATATATCG